TGTCGCTAAAGGGTTAAGGAACCCCCTTCCCCACTTCATCAGTACTGCGACTATGTCTGCCACCACAGGGGTGATCCCGTGCTCCTGACTCGAAACCGCACGGTACCCTGGCAGATAGGACCATCATCGGGGTGGTGCGTGGCTGCCATAGGGCGTCAAATCAGCAAGGTGAAACGCGGTGATTGCCATACTGACAGCCGGCACGGAGCCAGCAACGACTGGCATGTCCGGACTCGTTTGGATGCGCTCCCAAGCCGGCCTCCTTCGCTGCTGTTGTGTAAGGGGTTTAGTCCCGGCCTTGTTTTCAACTTCCTCCATTTTTTTCTCTGGCGTTGCATTTAGCATGTGGGCACTCATTTTCTGGCTCAGCGATATCCCATCTCGATTCCGACCCGTCCATCTAAGATTGAGATAGAGAAGGTTAGACGAGCGCAACCCCATACAACATACCAAGCTGCCGTCATTAACTTTTCCACGAACTGGTTTTCAGTTAGTTTTTGGCCCATACCACACCGATCATACGCTGCTCTGCACTATCTACCGTTTCTCTGGGCGCTTTTTTTACCCTTTCCACTGTTTGTTTTCATTTCGAGAACGCTGATTTATGGCGTCCGTTGCCTTTAATGGTAAAGCAGTTCTCAGTTAGCCGGAGAGTCATCATGTTACATCAGTCATACGTGTTATAAGTTGTTGAAATACGTCGTTATATTGTCTTTTTAATCGCTATTCCAGCAAGGGCTTGAGAAAAGCCTAAAATTCATTGAGACGTTGACACAGGACTATAGCTGTACTGCCGCGGTGTGCTCTGAACTTTTCACCGTCCATTCTTGTCCATCGGTGATGCCGTCAAAGCGTTATTGCGGTGTTTCTACGAATAGCATCCAAGATCATATGCTGAAATGTATCGCATTGTTAATCGTTTCAGATCAGCGCTACGATCAACCTCTACCGCTTACAACAAGACTTGAGGCATGGCTTTTTGCTTTCAGCGTGATTGTTGACGTGATGGTTGCTAGAATGTAGCTTCCAATGGCATGACTTACCATTAGTAGACGGCATGACACTTCCATTCTCTTACTCCTCTACAGCAAAGCACAAGGTTGATCATGTGAGGGATTTAGTGAGCATCGCCATATTGTAAATGGAACAGGGCGAACAGGAGTTGCAGACTAGGCTAGGTATCCCGCAGAAATGGTACAATAAGTCAGAAATTTGTACATAATTGTTTATGTGTTTTTCACAGCTGGAATCTAGTCACTAATTTGATTTGTTAACAAATGATGAAGTATCAGGGAATAGAGGTTCTCAAAATGTAATGAAACACATAAAACCTTGGAAGGCTCCGAGGGGAATTGTAAAGGAACAGAGGGGAAAGGCAGAGCCAAATTTTCGTGTATTAAGTTGACTTCCAATGAATCTTATCTAGAGAAGCAAATTGGAAGAAAGCTTGACTAAGTTCACTATTTATGATACAGCGCACGCGACCACCATCACTCACTCGAATTTTCGTTCCTTTAGGGCGAAAGGGCAGTGCTAAATGGAGCCACTGGCAAAAAA